CAAAATAGACTCGCCCAGGCCAAAAACCGACTTCTGCACATGGGCCACAAAGTTTCAATCGCACTGTACATGCGTGCCCGCACGTGGTATTTTGTGGAAGAGCCACACTCAAGGGGCCAAAGAGCCGCATGTGGCTCATGAGCCGCAGTTTGCCAACCACTGCCCTAGTCGGTTTGGCTCAGTGGATAGAGCATCGGCCTGCGAACTGAAGGGTCCAGGTTAAATTCACATGCCCAGGCTTCGGGCTCAATCCCCAGTAGGGGGTGTGCGGGAGGCAGCCAATCAATGATTCTCCTTCATCATTGATATTTCTCTCTCTCTCTCTCCCTCTTCCTTCCTCTCTGAAACCAATAAAAACATATTTTTTAAAAAATAATAAATAAATAAAAGTATTTTAAATATTACTGGTTTGAAGTGCTTACGACATAAATATCTTTATTTTCATGGAAAAGTAGTCTTGAAATATGATAGCTTTCAGCTTTATAGACTCCTTGTTTTCAAAGTGCTCAAATCTGTTTAGTTTTCTCAATCTTTTACCCACATAATATTGGTCCTTCTAGAAACACGTTTTACTAATACTTTTACTTTGTTTACTCAGTGCCAAAACCAACTATTTGGCTTCCTTTCTAATGAGCCCTGATTTTATTCCTACTTCTCCAGCCATGCCTTGACCTTGAAAACTTTCTCATGTACATAACGATAACCCCATTCCTTTCACAGGATGTTATTCTGGACAATGGGAATTGAAGCCTGCTGAGAAGGTTTCCCTGCTCTTAAAGGGAAAAAGAAAAGAACCAATAGTTCCCTTTTTTCTGTTGAGCACTGTGGGTTTCTGTGACAATGCCTTAACCTTCAGGGAAGAGCAGATATACCAACATGGTGAACAGTTGTCCCTGATGATGTCAATAAAACACTGATTTAACTAATCTCCATGTCAGAACTTGTTTTCCTAGATAATAACTTTTCCCACTGTTTTCCAAGCCATTCTGAACTAAGTTTTTGTTACCTGCATACAAAGCCATCCTAACTGATATAAATTGATTCATTAAATTCAGTTTTAAATTTAGTAAAAAAAAAAAAAAACCCAAAAACCTGGTAACTAATTTTATCTGTTTTCTATTGGAGGCTTTGATGTTCAAAAATTTAACAGTTTGTCTATGTTAAAACCTGAGTATTAAAATATAGTATTCTATTTCTTAATAAAATAACAATGAATATTTAGAGAAAGAATGAAAAACCTCTTTAGGGCTTGGTTTCTTAACCTCAAATCCATGTTTTAGATGACTACATATTAGCTGTCTAGGGAAAAAGCCCGTAACTTTTATCAGATTCTCAAAGGAACTTGGGCTCTAGCGGGTTGGGCTCTGTGGATAAAGTGTCGGTTTGGCTCTGTGGATAAAGAGTCGGCCTGTGGACCAAAGGGTCCTGGGTTCGATTCCAGTGAAGGTCATATATCTTGGCTGTAGGCTCCTCCCCGGCCCAGGCCTAGTCGGGGTGCATGCAAGAGGCAACCAACTGATGTGTTTCTCTCTTCCACTCTCTCTAAAAGATCAACGGAAAAATATCCTCAGGTGAGGATTAACAAAAAAGAAAGGAACTTGGAATCCTAAAAAATGTTAACAACTTCTTTAGAATAAATAAGTTTGAAAAACCACAGCGGTCAGTCAACACCCATTAATTAGTTATTAATGCCAGATTATGATGAATAATTTGTTTTATTTATAAAGTTGGCAATAGCAATAAACTTACTTGAAATCAGAAGACACTTGAAGAGACTAGATCTTTTATAACTTTAAATTACTTCATGTGATTCTAACTTCCAAATCACTGAAGATATCTCTAATTTACTTTATAGATAAGACCCCCTAATGGAGCAGCACTTGTTAAACAGTTAAAGACAAATAAAAAATAAAATAAAAAGAGAGAGAGAGAGAGAGAGCAGGTAGTGAAAAACCTGTAGGATAGATGCCCCTGGACCACTAATATTCACTAGATTTGACTACAAAACTTGTATGCATGAACCAATTGCAACTGATTTAGGTTCAACTTCATGATGCCAGAACAAAGACAAACCAAAAATCATTTTAAATGTTGACATAATGCAAATAAAGCAAATGAAAACAATAAAATATTCAAAATTACTCTATTTTTTGTTTCTCTACAGAGTCTATCAACTCTGGTGTACAACTTACCCTGACAATCAAGATCCACTTAATTAGAGAGAGACCAAATCCTGAAATGGCCCCATACCTTCCTGCAGCTGAAGTGGTCAGGCAAAAAGACAGGAAAAACCCAATCCAGTTAAAGAGGAATGCCACTGTAAAAGCAGAGAGAAAACAGATATCAGACATGTCCTATTACCCTGGAGCAAGAGTGTGCCCTCTGACTTGCTTCTGCTTAAATGGCTTTCCCAAGGATAAAAGAGAGCCCAACCTGCCCTCCACAACCCTTACCCACTCCCCCAAAGCAACCAAGAAAACATCCTCTCTGAATATCAGATGATACACTATTATAGCTACTGCTGTTCACTTTTAAAAAATGCCGTAACTGTATGCTTATGACTTTGCTCTGTGTTAAACTTCAGTAAATAAAATAAATGCCTTAAACATTAAATTAGTGCACCCAAATAATTTGATTCAAGTCATTCATCCTCCTGCTTCTATAAATTTTGGTAGTTTACATAACGTCACCTCTAAAAGCATTGCATTTCCTTCATATATTTTTAATATAACAAATAAAAGAAATAAGGTCGCTCACTTTAAGTGAGGCACATGGAAAGATAAATGCAAAACATTAAGGAGACAAAAATCATGCTGACTTTGATCTGTTAGAAAATAAAAGCTCACAAAAAACAAAATTCATCAGACAAAGGCACTTACAGGTCAGGTATAAGTAAAAGCAAGGCTACGGGGCCCTGCAGACTGGAAAGATGAGCTTGGCTCGTGCATAAATGCAGCAGCCCCGTAACCAATTTAATTATTTTAATATTTTCCATAGACATTCATAAAAGTATAAGACAAAGAGAAAGGATATTAAGATAAAAGTGTACTAAGCTCTGACATTTCAGTAAAAGGCACCAAATAAATAGTATTAGTTCTACTAGTTATTTTAATTCAGTCAGATTCACCCATAATCCAAAGTATTCCGTCCAGTCTATGGGAAGTGGCTCTGCTATGTGTATGTACTTACTGAAAAAAGTTAACATAAAAATTCCATCGTTTCCTATCCTCAGCTGGTCAGCATCATCAAAATCATCCCGACCCACAAAATCCTCATCCTACATGAAAAGAAAAAGAATAAGGTAAATTCACAATGAATTATTTCTAGGCAAAGGAAAGACATCTAGAAAAAGAGAGAGGGACAAAAGTAGTACCAAGGAGAAACTTACTGCTTTGGCTCAATTCAAAACTATAAGCATTAAGGATCAGTATGGTTTTTAAATGTCATTTTGCACCTGAAACTTATATAATGTTATAAACTGATGTTACTGCAATAAAACTAAATTTTAAAAAGAGACCTAAGAGTAGGATATAATTAGAGAAAAGAACAAATCTTTCTTCCATCTCATTTTCTAAGTGATTTTTTTCATTTTATAACCCAAGTTCTTTAACAATATACTTCAAAAATTATAAACACAAAGTTCCATATATATATCTTTTAAAAAGAGAAAATTTACTTATACATCTGGCTTAAATTCTAGAATGTCAGTAATCCAGGGCCTATTAAGGAGACACAATTGAGTAGCTCAGGTGTTTTATGAGACTGACATAGGGGAAAAAAGGATGGCATCATCATACATGTAGAGTCTACAGGGCTGCCCACTGCTCATCTCCATAATCATTTATGTGGGAATCTAGGTCTGAAACAACCTCACTTCCAATTTTATTGGCAGATCGGATCTCTTCCATCCTAACATGAAAACATAATATTGCAGGTCTAGAAGGAACATAATCTTGATCAATATTGACACCAACATGCTGTAGCCTACCTTTTTAACTGATGTAGATGTGCTGAGACAATGAAAAATAAGTGAATATATGCTTAACAGTAAAAGTGATAGACTTGTACACAGCCCAGTAAGCGTTCCTCAAACTAAACAAACAAAAAAACTTGAGGGGCAATCAAAACTGTCCCTACACAGAAAAGGAGCTTGGAAATCCACAACAAGCTGTTAACGCGCTTCCCTTGGGGACTGGAACTAAAAAAAGGGAAGGATCAGTGGTAGCTTCCATTTCTAACTTAACATGTTTCCTCTCTCGTTTAAAATTTGTATAAGAATGTGATTTTTATTTTATTTTTTAAAATACTAAATACGCAATATTCTGACTTCATATTAGCAGGATAAATAAGACTTTGCCAAATTAGAAATTGTTTTTTTGCATAATTAGTCAAAGATATATATGCTACAAAAATACATGGAAGTGAAACCAACTTATGATGGTCTGACTTTCAATTTTTCAACCATATGGTGGTGTGAAAGTGATATGCATTAATAGAAACTGGCTAGGCTAAACTAGGATGTTCGTAGTTTAAGTGTATTAAATGTATTTTCAACTTACAATATTTTCAACCTTCAATGGGTTTATCAGGACGTAACCCTATCGACTGTTGCCAGGATAATGTTTCTAAAACACCTTACGGGTCTTATCACACCCCTGCTCAAAAACTACAATGGATTCTGTGTGACCTGCACATAAGTCTAAATGCCTCAGCCTAGCATTCAGGAGATTCTAAAGGGTGTCCCAAAATTCACGCAAGAAATAATTTTGATAGAAAACACAGGTTTATAATTAAAAATTGTAAATTTTTTATTGATTCATAAAGTATATAGTCTAGGGTTATGTAGGAATAGCATTATCGGGTAAATGGCCTCCACGGCTTTGCTGGCACATACGCACTCTTTTGTTGAAATTTTCCATGACTGTTTTGCATAAATGTGGCTGAATTTCGATGAGGCTCATTTTCATCTTGATGGCTTGGTTAATCGACAAAATTGTCGCATTTGGGGTTCAGAAAATCCA